GCATGTAAATTTTGGTGCAAATCCGTCGAAAATGGCGCCCGTGCATTCGTTACGTACACACACACATCCTGCCTTTTACATATATCTAAAAATATCTACAGGCACTATATATATTGCACTTCTATAATCATGTGTGCGTTAAACATTTTTTATAACAATGGACAACATTTTAACAAACACGCACATGTGTGTGCATGTGTGTGTGTGTGAATGTGTGTGCGAGTTTGGGTGGGTGCTAAAGTGTTCAAGGCCCGACCCACTTCTTGAGAGAAGAGATTACAGATGGAAGAAGGTATAAAAGAGAGATTAAATTCGAGAGTGGGTGACAGTAAGAGAGAGAGAGAGAGAGAGAGAAAGGGAGAGAGATACGAAGAAGAGAATAATTGAAAGAGCGTGAGAGAAATTACAAACGAGAGTGGAATTGTAAATGAGAGAGAGAGAGAGAGGTTATTTATATAGAAACACATCTGCACCATTTTTCGTATTATACAACCAACCTTGTTCTAGCGGAATCCCAGTTCACTTACTTTACATAAGAACCAACCTCTTTGCGCGCATTCTCTACTTAACTTGACCTAAACTCGGGAAAATTTGAAACTTGCGTGAGAATCTAAGATATTCGACATTCTTCTTCCGCTGGAAAATCTAAAACAGCAATTCCTTATTAACCTTATTAACTTTGGTTAATTTTATTAAGTGTCGCGATTTCCTCGTTTGTTGTAAGCTTCGTTACGTACGATTTTCGATAAGCAAAAGCGAATTCCATTCAATTAAGTTAAAATCTCCTCCTGGGGTTCTTTCGTTATAAATAAATTTCAAACAACTGGTTTCTATTTGTAAAGTCGGCTTTGAATTCATTTAAAATTAATTCTTTCACACTTCCTCTGTTCATTGTCCGTTCCCACTTGGTATTATATTATGTCCTTCTCTCTCTATCTGTCATTCGCTCACACTCTTTCCCATTCTCTCTCCCTCATTCTCACTTCTCTCTCTCACTCTCTTATTCTCCCTCAATCTCTCTTTCTCTCATTCTCTCTCTCTTATTCTCTCTTTCTCTCTCTCATTCTCACTATCATTCTCTCTTCCAACCTCTCTCTCCTATTCTCTACCTCTCGTTCTCTCTTCCTCACTCTAACTCTCTTTTTTATTCTCCCTCACACTCTCACTCATTCTCCCTCACAATCTCACTAATTTTCTCTCACTCTCTCTCCCACACTCTCTCGCTGTCATTCTCTCGCCTCTCTCCCCCACTCTCGTAATTCCCTTCCCTTCTCTCTATATATCATTATCTCCCATTCTCGCACCTTATTCTCTAATCCTCTTTCCCTCTCACTCATTTTTTGTTCTTTCTCACACTCTCTCTCTCACTCTTCCATTCTCTCTCCTTCGCTCATTCTTTCTCTCATTCTCTCCCACTCACTCTCATTCTCTCCCACTCACTCTCATTCTCTCCCACTCACTCTCATTCTCTCCCCTTCTTCTTCTATCATTATTTCTCTCCCCCTCCCTCTCAAATACCTGGACGCTTCTGAACGTAGGCATTAATGCTTCTCTGTAGATGCATTGCCATAATTGTTCTGAGGAACAATAGTAGAGAGGTTTCTCGTTGTTTTCCCCGTATTCTGATTAATGAATTGTACTAGACTGGTTTCCAACCAAGGCTAGAGCGCTGTCTGTTTTACTATTTTACTCATAGCTGGTAATAATAGCATATGAATATATGGATTCTTGCTTTTCCCAAGGAAATCAGTGCAAATTGAACGCAAACTATCTCAGATGGAAATTGGAATCAGCTCGCCGACATACAGACATACACAGCGATACAGAGGTATTCAGACATGCACAAACGTACACAGAAACAAAAACGTAAACATACTTATACAGATCCATACACAGAAACACAGACACACACCGATACAGAGACACATATGAACACGCACATCCAGAGACACACACCAATATAGAGACATACACTGACGTACACAGGAACAAAGATGCAATTATACTCACACGGAGACCCACGCGCACAAAGATGCAGAGACACACACGCACGCACGCACACAGATACTCACTCAAATACAGAAACATACACTGACGTACATAGAAACAAAGATGTAAATATACTCACACAAATTCAAACACAGACACACACACACGCATGCAAACGCACACTGATACAGACACACACACAAACATAGGCATACATACATGTACACAGACACAATGATGGTTTGGTTGATTTTGTTTCACGGCATAGCAACACCTCAATGGGCTATTTATTGCCCACATGATTTTTAAGATAGGTTCGTATGAATAGAATATGTATTCTTTCTAAGAAATCAGTTTGTAGATCAGGTTTCATTGATGTATTTTTGTAAAGAGGGTTTTTTTTCAAATGTATTGCTGGTATTATTTTTTCAAAAATGAATTGTTTGTAAAAAAATGTATTGTTGATATTTTTACATAAAAATGTTTTTTTTTATACATTCATAGTGTTTTTTGAATCCAGTTTTAGGGTTAACTTTTTGTCCATAACTGAGACCCTAACAGGTGCTATCACCCGAGTCAGGGTGGAGCTGGAAACAAAAGCATTTAAGAGGTGGTTCAACGCTCCTCAAACCTCCCGATCATCAGAGGCCTTACTGCCGGGCGTAGTTTATCGTCATACCCAGGACAACCACGCACATAGAGATACAGAGGCATACACACGTACAAATAAATAAATACACTCAAGCAGATTCATACACAGGTACACACGCACACACACACACGTACATGAAGGCTTCGAGGGATCAAGGAAAAACAGTTGACAACTTGAAAATATCATGTGACCGAAGTTCGTAGAAGCAAGCGAGTTGGAAAGGTCTTTTCTTTGACTCAGGAAATTTTTACTTGAACACTTGGTCGAGTTTTCGTATCTGTGGTATAAAGAGATTCACTTGGGACGTGAAACGTCGGGTTGTTCGAAGACGTCTCAATTGGCAGCCAATTTAAACTGGATGACTGAGAATAAATTGAAGCACATTTTATTCGTCCACAGTTCAAGCAGAAAAGTCTGACACTTGTAGGCTACTTGTAGAAACACAAGCAGTCTTATTTAGTATAGAATAGTTGCAACGTATATTTAGTATAGAATAGTCGCTATAGGCATCACCCTGGGTCATAAACAAACTCCACGTGTCAGCGGTAAAACTGATTTGATCACTCAACACAAGGGCTAAGAACTATTCAAAATAGAATTTGACTGGATAAAGTTGTATGACTCTAAATGTCAGACGTAAGAAGCAGATTATGAGGATATGTTGGAAAGACAACGATTGACTCTAGACTTGAAGAGGTTTTGATTGTAGCGATTAAGGAGTCATCCCCAGTCGGTTCTACAAAATAGCAATTCTTGGAAAGAAACTGTCAGGGGAGACAACTCTTCCTTAACGAATTATAGACTCTTCACGGAAAAAAAAATGAAAGTATGAGAGAACAATATTTACATTATTCGGACTTTTGTTCTCATCTTTGTCGATATATTTATTACAACGTTTCGGCCGTTGTACGCTCCGGCCTTCTTCAGGTGGTTAGAGTGTCGAAATGAACCCTTTATTACGCTCACTGGGGTAGACTGTTCTAGTTCCATGTGCCATGTTTAATGGATGTCAGTTATCAGTTATCTCCTGTTAATTCTCCTCTCCAAGTTCTCCACCGACTTAACCATATATTGAACTCACAACTCTTTGGGTCCTGTCACTGGATCTAACCAATGTCTTTATCCACTGTGTCATGTGTCCTTAAGGACATCTGTGTGTGAATTTCTTTGAATTAATGTCTTCAGCAACCATTTTTACCAGTGCTCATATTGCAATTTTTGCTGTTATCATTTATGTTTTTTAGCAGAGCTCATATTGCGATTTTCGTTGTTGTTATTGCTTTTCTCTTGCACTCCTTATTACTGGTTCCCATATTGTATTAATTTCTATGCTTTACTCTTAATAATTTATTTTAGGTGACTGACAAATTGCTCTGCCTAACTGAAAACTGATGGACATCTAAGTCCTTTATTAACTAAATTTTGCGATCATCCAAGATCATAAATTGATATTTTTCTCAAAAATGTGCAATTTCAGCAATACAAAAATGGTAGCTAACCATGAAAAACTAAGGTCATTTTCGGAATCGGTACCATCAAATTAGCTAAAAGATGTGTTTTGTTTCTGGGCACCAAAAATCCTATTGACCAGTGTTATTTACATTTAAATAATTTTTATTCACTATTTTATAAAGAAAGAAATGTGAAAAGAATTATTTTTTATTCAAAAACCTATAAAAAAATAGAAAATTATCAAAATATGTAAACCAAAAACAATGTAATATTTACTATTTATATTTATAAATAATTATGAAAACAATTTTTCTTTTATTCATAATTTTATAAAAATATCCATGAACTATTGTTGTCAAATATATACACTTTCATATTTCATATGTTTGAATTTTATTGAAATTCTAATCATTGCTTTTTAAAATAATAAACATCGTCGAGGGAATCTAAAGTTTATACAGTAATAGCGGCATCAAGAAAATAAGCAATACTTTTGACCCCGTTTTTTTTCGGGAACAAAGATTAAACATTTTCGTTTCGTTTTTATTTGTTTTTATTCTCATGGCATATTTATTGGATTTTTGGTTGTTAAAAATGATTCTCTTCTTTGCTTTTTTACACAGAATGTGTCAGTCGTGGTTTTGTTTTGTCCAAAGTCAGACTGAATAGGAAATAAATCATTTTAAAAAGAAAGAAAGACAATTCCTAATAGATTAGGATTCAGATTTGAATCTTCGATTGAGTATTAATCAACCCACAAATGAAATCAGATAAGATGATAACGAGGCTGGCAGACGATCGCCAGCTGAAAAACTAAACCCTTCCAAGCGAGTAGAGAAAAAATTGCAAATGTCACTTTTAAAATTAGCATCAATATATTACTGAGACCATTAAAGCTGACATATCTTTAGTGAAAGAAAGAAAGAAAGAAAGAAAATGAACGAAGAAAATGGAAGGCAAAGAAAGAAAGAATGAATGAAATGAGTAAGATGAAAGAAGAAAAGGGAATGCAAAGAAAGAAAAAAAGAACGAAAGAAATGAGAACAATGAACGAAGAAAATGGAAGCCAAAAAATGAAAGAAAGAAGGAAAATGAAAGAAATAAAGAAAGAAAGGAAGAAAAAGAAGGAAAATGAAAAAAGAAAAAAGACGGTAAAGAAAGAAATGATGAGAAAGAAAGAAACTGGTGTTTTAACCTGATATTGAACTTTTGCTTCAGTGAAATGGAAACTATTGTAAATTTTTAATATTTTCATTTGTACCCTCTTACTTCTTTAAAGAATGACCTGCATCAATGCTTATGATTGTTATTGCACTATTTTGCTCAAGCCCTTAATATTTAATGACTCATCAGGGGGAATTTCCAAGGATATTTTATAGTCGGTAAATATTATCAAATTAAGAATTAATATTCAACAGAAAACTTCTTATAGGAAAACGGTGAAATTTTCAAGGGAACCATTAGTAACTCTTAATTTGATCATTCTGGATCAGCACCGCTTCGCCTGTCTACTACCTGCTTTAAAACCGAGTAGTAACGCCTGGCTCAACGCAGTGCCCTCTTCATCTACCGGTCCCCTTCTAGATGATGAATGCATTTGGTTCGGAGTAGCGATCCATCTTTGGCTCAAATTATGTGAGCGTCACAGATGCAGATGTGGAGCTTCCATTGATGAGTTAGGTTTGCATCCTCTCTCCTGTCGTCGTAGTACCGGCCGCTTTCCAAGGCATGCAGCAATAAACGACATCATCAGAAGAGGTTTGGATGCAGCTAGGTTCCCTTCCCAAATCGAACCTGTAGGCCTCGACCATGGTGATGGAAAGCGGTCGGATGTGATCACCATTTCCCCTTTTAAAGTGGGGAGATCGTTGATTTGGGATACGACATGTACCGATATATTTTCAACCGGTAATTTGATCAGGTATACGGTTGAGCTGTCACTTGGGACGCGGAGATAAAAAAAAAATAGTTAAATATTATTCTCTTGCGGGTAGATTTATTTTTAATCCTGTGGCAGTGGTGACTTCTGGGGTTATTGGCCCTCGTTCGATGACGTTCCTTTGCGGGGTTAGCGAGATGACGTTTCGATTAAGTGACGTGCGTCGCCAAGCGAAGTATCTCTAGCAGCGTGTCTCACTGTCGATGGTGCGAGGTAATGCTTTCTCGATCATTATGGCTGGCAGAGGATAGCAAAAAAATGTTTTTGTTTATAGATACTTTGTTCAAATAAATATTAATTAAAATTTGTACGTTCTAATCTATTTTTTTATGTACAGATTACTTAGCATCGAAGCGGATAAATTGTGCGTCGATTTTACGCTTTTAAAATGTGTTTAGACCAGATCTATATCAGTAAGGTAATAATTAAAAAATTCTTCAGCATCGAAACCGGTTAGAATTATTTGTCATGTCTAAGGAAACGAAGCTTTAAGTATCCGTGCATACAAAAGATGGTGTGACCAGTTTCGATCAGGAAATCGATCCTTCTCACGAAAATTCCCTTCGATCTTAATGACCAAATTCTCTTTATATTGAGGTTGGTCAAGAAGTCTCTAATCATCTGACACCATAAGATTAATCAAAGTTCCCCTCTGATCGTCACTGGTCAATAGACTTGCTACCGAACTTTTCCTGGGTAGAATTATCACCAGTGTTAACAAAATTTAGTTCTCGATAATCATACCCAACGAAGACAACAATAGCTAGCAACAACTGAAAACGGGGGTGGGGAGAAAAAAAACTTTCCCAAAACAAGGACTGCGTCCGAAAAAAAGTTATACTCTGCATTTGATGGAATAAAAACTATGTTGTCTATTTGAAACGTTAAACTAAAATAAAATAGTTAACGCGGAGAATTATGGACGTCAAATGGAAATACTGCAGAGAGATTTGCGGAAAAAGCGACCATCATAGATTAATCGTAAGGGCGTGTTGCCATTAAACGATAATGCGAAATTAAATGAAATGTATTTTTGTGAGTGAAAACAATTAATAAATACAAGACCAGAGATATGACACAGTAATGCATAATTTCTTTCTTGTTTCAAACAAAGCTAAAGGAAAATAGCTAAACAAGCTTAGAACGTTGGTTACTTTGTTAGGCGTTGCTCGTGTAGAGGGATTCGACCTCCATTAGGAGCTCGAAAGTTGCGGCCTTGCACCAGACTAGACAAAAAGTTGAATAGCCAGATGGGAAGACGTATGTATGTACAGGCACATCAACACATACAGAGAACAGAACACACCTGCAGACGCAGCACGCTTTTACTGAACCTTTTAAAAATAGATCGCGGACCACGTGTCAGGTTGTGAGAAAAACGTAATTTATAGAGACTGGCACAAAGATCACTTTTCAGTCGTACACATACACAGAATATATATATATATATATATATATATATATGTGTGTGTGAGTGTGTGTGTGTGTGTGTACACACGCATCCTCATCACACACATATCCATATATGTACGTATTCACAAACTCTAATATATATATATATATATATATATATATATATATATATATATATATAAAAATAAGAAAAGACAATATATATATATTATATATATTGTAAAAAAAGACAATATATGTGTGTGTGTGTGTGTGAGTGTGTGTGTGTGTGTGTACACACGCATCCTCATACACACACATCCATATATATATATATATTTATGAATAAAAATGACAATAGGAAAACTGGTAATTGCTGACGCGTTTCGTCCAATATGGACTTTATCAAAGCAAAATACGAAATGAAATTAAATGAACAACGTAACTAATAAAACAAAAACAGAATGTACCTTGCAACTGGAATGTAGAAAACGCTATTTTCATATTTTTTAAATGAAAAATGACGTCAGAGATTGTCACGTGTGGAGAATATTGTCATTATATCTGTGTTGATGTATTCAACCATTTTCTTTCGATTTTATGAATCTGTTGTGCATATTTGTTTGTAAGAGCATTAATTTTGTTAAGAAAGGTGAAATAGGGAAAAAGCCTGGGCGTAAATTAATATTTGGATAATTTTCTATGGCGGCACTCTCCAGAATTTTCCTTCTGAGTGAGTTATTTTCTTTTTTCATGAGTGTAGCATTTTTAAAATCAAAATTATGGTTGTATTTATTTCTATGTATGACTATTGCATTAGCTAAGTTGTTTCCTGAACATTTTGTTAATTAGAAATAACAACGAACTCAATTTTGACGTTTACAGAAAGGCTACAAACAAAAATGATCTCATCAGCTTCTACTCAAACCACCCTTCAAAAATTAAATCTGGAATTATTATAGGTTTCTATCTAAGAGCATTAAGAATCTGTAGTCCTCAATATTTATTTAAAGAAGAAACATACATAGAAAACACATTCAAAAACCTACAATACCCATATCATTTCATCCACAATGCAAGAAGAAAGGCATACAAAATATACAAACGAAACAAAACTAATAACACAATCCGCAATAGTAAATCACATGAAAACAGATACATAATACTACCGACCAATTCTGCCACGTCCACGATCCAGAATAACCTATCCCATCTAAATAATCTTGAAATAGTCACAAACACCTCCAAAACCATTATAGATATACTAAGATCTTCAAACAATAATAGCACTAATATTTCTGAAGCAGGCATTTATAAAATAAATTGCCAAAACTGCTCCTCCCAATATATTGGAGAAACAAGTAGAAGTTTGAAAAAAACGCATTTATGAGCACAAAAGAGACCTCTAAAAAAACAACTTAGCTAATGCAATAGTCATACATAGAAATAAATACAACCATAATTTTGATTTTTAAAATGCTACACTCATGAAAAAAAGAAAATAACTCACTCAGAAGGAAAATTCTGGAGAGTGCCGCCAGAAAATTATCCAAATATTAATTTACGCCCAGGTTTTTTCCCTATTTCACCTTTCTTAACAAAATTAATGCTCTTACAAACAAATATGCACAACAGATTCATAAAATCGAAAGAAAATGGTTGAATACATCAACACAGATATAATGACAATATTCTCCACACGTGACAATCTCTGACGTCATTTTCATTTAAAAATATGAAAATAGCGTTTCTCTACATTCCAGTTGCTAGGTACATTCTGTTTTTTTTTTTATTAGTTACGTTGTTCATTTAATTTCATTTTCGTATTTTTGCTTTGATAAAGTCCACATTGGACGAAACGCGTCAGCAATTACCAGTTTTCCTATTGTCATTTTTTATTCATAAATATTGTCTTCTCTACCGATTAAATCGGAGAAATTTTCATATATATATATCCATATGTACGTATTCTAAACTCTATATATATATATATATATATATATATATATATATATTGTCTTTCTTACAATATATATGTATTGTCTTTCTTATATATATATATATATATATATATATATATATATATATATATGGGCGCGTGGCCAAGTGGTTAGAATGTTCGCTTTCGAATCTTACCATGGTCGATTTGTCAGGAAGGCGACTGGATTGAAGTCGATCCCAGTGTGCGACACCTTTTGAAGGTTCCTGAAAGCCATACCACGTGTTGACCCAAGCCTTGTGAGTTAAATTTGGTAGACGGAACCCTTGTGTGCTTCGATAGCTGTGCTAGCACGAAACCATCGTGTCCGAGGGCGTGAGCGTACTGGCCTTGTTCAAATTGTTGATCACACTAGATAGCACGCTCTTTCCTTGAAACTGTAACTAAGTTCTGCTCAACATAGTTGCAGTGTATGCCACAGGTTGGCTCTGTGGGTGTTGATCATACACAAATGTGGCTGAGCGAACGTAGAAGTGTATCTTCGAATACCAATGGCCAGCTATTATATACGAATCAAAATTATTATTCGACCTACCAACTCTATCACAAATACAACTGAAAATAATTTATCTAAGGTTAATATGAAATTCGTTATAACTATTTCTAAAATAACAGGAGACTTGATTTTAAATATAGATATTATCTGTGGCGATGAATTCATTTAAGTATTAATGACAAAATAGTTATAATTTATGTTTAATATGTAAATGATATTATTGCCGTAAGACATTGCAAAACACTTTTCCTATATTAATTCATAGGATTTTTTAAATTAAAGGCCTGCATTACAGGAAGACTTGGATTTTCAAAGACACTATAATAAGGAAAACGTTAATAACATCATAGGTCTATTAAATGCATAGTATATTATATTATTATAGATAAATAATATTCTTATAGATATACATTTAAAATATTTTACTATAGAATAGCATTGTAAATATAATTTGCTATAGAAAGTATTACATTACACATCTGGAAATTTGTGATTTTCAAAGGTCCCATATCAAGCGTTCTTGACAACAGAGCTCTGTTATATGTATAATATAAATCTATTGTAAATTATTTATTATAGGGAAATGGCCAATAAGTTTGCTATTGATACGCATTTAGAAATATTTTACTATAGAAATGTATTGTAAATGAGTTCGCTAAAGAAATATATTGCAATTTTTTTTTTATTAAAGGCATGCATTAAACATCAGGAAAACTTGCATTTTGAATGGCCCCATAAGGAAAGTGTTACTGAAAATGTAGGGCTTACATAAATAATTGGAAATCTCATGGAAGCTTGACATACCGCTATCCATTTCAGTCATTTACGTTGAGAGATGAATTCGAAAAATAAAAAAATAAAACGAAAACAAAAAAGACAAAATCAACGAAAAAACGATGATACATTATTCCTGTTGTAAATCAAGGAACCTGCTGTGATGTTGAAAGTACATGCTACCGTTGGCCGCCATGAAAACAGAAATGGCAGAGGCGACAGGAGACACTTTCTTTTCTTCTCTTATACAGGTTTGAAAAGAAATGACCAAGACAGTAATACATCGAAAGTGAAGAACACTCCACCACAAAAAAAAAAAAACAAACCAAAAACCAAAAACAAACAAAACCTGATACATAGATAAATAGATAGATAGATAAGTAGATAGATAGACAGAGAGGGTAAGACCTCCGAGTCTAGCTGAGTCGTGATACAGTCTTTGACTGTAAGCGACGTCTGTCGAACTCTCTGCGTTAGCAGAGAGGAACCCGGACGAAGCTTTGCCGAAGGGCAAGGTTTCGTCCGGGGAGGTAGACAGGGCCTGAACCCGTCTAGGCGGGTTCAAAGGCTATATTTTTGGCCGAGCCTACGGGCTCGGAGATACCCACATTAAACCGGCCTTGTGCCACATTCAATCCTAGTGGGTGGATCGATAAATACTGATAGATAGATAGATAGATAGATACGACGATTACTGGTCACTCGGTGAGCATTGAATTCACGGGTGACGATAATGGCTGAACATGGTGCTACTATGAAGAGTTCTGAAACTAGCTTAAATTAACCAGAATTGTGTAAAAATATTCAAGTTTCCGCTTACTTTTTGTGATCACTTTCGCACCGATGTCATTAAGAAAGGCGGGAGTCAGTTTATAACTACCCCCACCCCCATCAATTATGGCAGACTGGGATTTTTAGCCTAGGTTGGCACTTTGTCTAGGAGAAGTAAAGCTCTGAATTACAAAAGTCAACAATAAACCATTCCACGATCTTTCCAAAGATATCATGGCAATTCCAAGCATATAATGAAACGGAATGTGTGAAGGGCTATGATCCTCTAATCCTGAAAAAAAAAAAACACACACAAAAAACGTTAAGGCACCAGCGTGGGAATTTTTAAATAAAGGAAAGTGTCGATTCATTTCTTATTTGGTGATTCACTTCTGTGGTCCATGCTGAACCGCTGCAGTAGGAGCCAACTATGAATCCTCCCCGAGACTACGTTCTGTCCATTTGCTTAAGGGCGCCAGTTATGTCACGCGCTGCCTTCTCTTGTCTCTTTTTCCCGCTATTTGACCTGTGGGTATCATATTATCCAGGCCGTCCTTCCTCATTATGTGCCCCAGGAACTACGGCTGCCTCTTCCTGATGTTAAGTATAAGCCTCCTCCTTTTTTGCATCCTCTCTAAAACCTCATCGTTGCTCACATGCTCCGTCAATGATATCCTCAGCATCCTTCTGTAGAACCACATCTCTGTCGCCTCGAGTCTGTCCTTCATCAGTCATGCCTAAAAGAGAATTTACTGCCTAAATACACACACCCACGCGCGCACACACACACAAATACACACACAAATACGCACACATACACACACAAATACGCACACATACACTCACACACTAGAAGACTAGAAGGAAATAGGAAGATAAATGGCATTTATACTTACAATCAGAAAGAAAGAGTTCAAATTTCTAAAGAAAAAATGGGGTTTGGAGATTTTAACACACACAATACATAATGAAGCTAAGATGCGTAGAGAGAAACACTTCTTTTTATGTGCCATGTCCTTTCAGGACGTAGGCGATCATGGTTCTCCACCACTCTCTATCCCTTGCAGCTCTCAACAAGTTCCTTCCCTCTGCTGCCACCTTCAGACCACGTTCCGTCATCCACTTATATTAAGTCCGCCAGATATGTCACGCGTTGTTTTCCCTTATCTCTCTTTCCCTCTATTCGACTCGTGAGTATTATATTCTCCAGTCCCTCCTTCCTCATTATGCGTCCCAGAAACTTCAGCTGCCTCTTCTTGATATTAAGTATAAGTCTCCTCCTTGTTTGCATCCTCTCTAAGACCTCATCGTTGCTCACACGCTCGGTACTTGATATCCTCAACATCCTTCTGTAGAACTACTTCGAGTCTCTTCTTCATTATTGAGGAGACCGTCCAACATTCGATGCCGTAAAGAAATCGTACAGCAATCGCTGCAGTAAACAGCTCAGTATTCATTTCTTTGTTACCAAGCTTCACAATACTGCCCTCTTGGTAACTCGAACCACTATGCTGACAGTTTCTTTTCTCGCACATCTCGCTAGTGGGACTCTATGCTTTCTAGCCAACTTTAATCTTCAAAAATTTAAATGCAATTGTTATCCTGATTATTTTTTTTTTTGTTCTCGCTCCTTTGTAATGTTTCTCTTTCTAATTTTCTACACCCAGTAACCCCCTGTGTCTTAGTGGGGTTTGTTTTTGCTTGGTTTTTGCATTTCTTGTTTTTCTTTTATCCCGTAAAGTCACCAGGTGTACTGCAGCTACAGCAGAAGTGGTGTTTTGGGGGCAAGATAGATTGAATTCAGTTTTTCCTTTTCCTAAACTGGTTGCCACCCAAGGTTATAGAACCCAGTCTGTCTTGCTATTTACCCATAGCTGAGAGGAGAAGGAGGAGATTCATACCTTCTCCAATTGTATTAGCACGTAAGTGAATATAATGGATCCGACTGGAATTCGAACTCGCTATCCATTACTCCACTGTACCTCCGCCTTGCTTGGGGTGAAATCATTAAAAAAAAAAAGAAGCTTTAATGAATTAATTGTAAGTACTTTAACTTAGTCTCATCCTGGTTTTAACTTCCACATGATCAGCCTCGTTACGGATGAGTGTTTTTATTGTTACCATATGCAACTATATATTTTTTACTACGGAAGCAAGAGACTCAACTTTACTTGAACTCGTATCTATTGTGCAATTCATGTAGAATACCCAGGAAAGGATCTTCAAGTCATAGGTTTAATGTATTCTACTGAGTGCAGGATTTGAGTATAGCATATCAGCTGATTCTTTCAAACGTCTTATTTCCTATATCTGTTATTTTCACTTCGTACTGTAAAAGTTGATGTGTCCCTTTTTATTCTTATATGTTGGTGCTGATATTGAGAGATAAAGCTTTCTGACATGATAGCTGAATTATTTTTTGCAGAAAGACAACTTTTGAAAGTTTATCTATTACGTTTTGAATAAGGGACCTTTTGACATTGAGCAGAGCTTTGAGAGCTGGGTGACTGACTGAAGAAACAAAATGAAAGAATGTATAAAATGAAAAGGAAAGACAAAGAGATGCCAAAGGAAGAAAGAAAAGAAGAAAGAAAGAAAGAAAGAAAGAATGGAACGAGAGAAAAATAATAAAAAGGAAAAAGAGTGAAATAAGAAACGATAAGACAAATAGGGAAATTTTAAATGTAAAAGAAAAGAATAAAAGGAGAAAGAATGAGAAAGTAACAAAGGAAATAAGATAGACGAAAAAGACAAAGAAAGAAAGAAAAGAAGAAGAAATGAAGAAAGAAAGAAAAGATAATTACATAGGCATAAAAGAAAGAGTGGAAAATGCGAAAGTGTTAAAAGAAACAGTGTGTGTAGGAACAAAAGAAAGAAAGAATGAGAAAAGAAAGAAATTGGAAAGTGATAAAAGAGCAGAACAAGATTAGAATGAAAGAATGAAAAAGAAAAAGAATAGATGAAAAAAAGAAACGAGAGATAATGAAAAAGAATAGGAGGAAGAATGAATGAGAAATAAAGACGTTATCGAGACTAAAACGAAAGAAAGAAAAGATTAGACAGAATAGAAATGAAAAATAGTCATAAAACAAAAGAAGAAAGAGATAAAGAAAAGACCATAGAAAGTCTACAATGACAAAGAAAGAAAGAAAGAAAGAACAAAGAAAGAAAGAAAGAAAGAAAGAAAGAAAGAACAAAGAAAGAAAGAAAGAAAGAACAATAGAACAGAACAAGAGAAAGAAAATAATAAAAAGGAAAAAGAATGAAATAATAAAAGAAAAAGACAAATAAGAAAGTTTTAAAAGAACAATGGTAAAACGAATAGAAGGAGAAAGAATGAGAAATAAATAAAGAAAAAATGTAGAAAGAAAGAAAGAAAGAAAGAAAGAAAGAAAGAAAGAAAGAATGGGAAATGAGTAATCGCAAGAGGAAGGAAGAAATAAAAAGAAAGAAGGAAAAAAAGAGTTAAAAAAGAGTAAAGGAGCAATAAAGAAAATGGAAGTCAATGAGAAAGAACGAGAAAGCAAATAAAACTAGACAGAAAAGAGAAAAGAATGGATGAAGGAAATAAAAAAATAATAATGGTTCTCCTCTTTTTCTTTCCGACCAAAAACGAAACGTATGAAAAAACGTAAAATCATCCCAAGTCAGCTTCTGCTGTAAAACATGGCGATTGGCTGCGGGTCGGATCAAGGCTAGCTGAGTGGGTAGGGCAAAACAAGATTTTTAAAAAAAGAGGAAAAAATTGGGAAAGTAGTTTACCTTTTGTTTTTGTTTCCTGTGTGGGATACGTTTTACAGATTCACGCTTTTTTATTTCTTTTTTCATTTTTTGTTGCGGGGGGTGGGGGGTAGGGAGGGGTTGTTAATCCCGACAGTATCAAGTAGCATCCCTTTGTCCCTTTCAGGTGACAGCTCCTAAAACATTGGATCATTTCAGCACCCCGTCCCGTTCTCTATTTAATCACCTGTCTTTATTCCGACTATACAATAGCCAGCTGAAGAAAGAAAGAAAAAAAAAAAAGGTCTCCTTTGAAAAGTTTCGAGCGTGCGTCAGGTAACTGAGAACAAATTATAATAGAAAAACAAAGAAAGAAAAGTCTGTAGATTTTTAAAAGGTACTCATGTTCTACATAGAAAAACAGAAAAAAAACTTACTCAATGAAACCACCCTCACCAAGACGCAACCTCGATTCAGGTTTTTCATTCCTGTTGGCTTCATTCATCTTTTTCCACAATGGCGGCCTCCGACGATTTCTTCTTAATGTCTTTGGACTTTCTCTCAACGGTACCCCAATAACAACAACAGCACACACATAATGTATAATGTATTTATTTCTTTTTTTATAGTTTGTCAACCCTGTGGGTTATTTAAAGCCGGGAAACTTTTTGGATTGCAAAAGTATTTTTTGCGAGTGAATATTAAACAATGATATATAACAATGATTTTTCCAAATACTGCCTTACTATTTAAACCCTGAAAGCTAAAAGGATGAGATGGATTCATATCCTCACCAAGTGGATTTGCGTGTAAGTGTATGTAACAAACTTGACTGGAAATCGAACTCGTTTCGAACAGCTACCCATTACATCACCGCGCAATCTAGCGTAATGATTATCGGCTCTGGACTAGGAATTGTCGAGCAGTTTTTATTTCCGGTCGAGTATCATTATACTGTTAATCTATATTTTATCGCGCGCACAACTATGGGTTAAATAGAGAGGTTCTTTCTAGCTGTGGTCTAGGAGAAAGATAATTCAGAATCTAAAACCTGAAGCTAGATGATTAGACATGAGGGTCAAGAAACTATAATTGTAAAATAAAATCATGGTAGATTTAAGAAAATATGGATGATTTCACTGGAGGGCGATTATCCAAAATGCTAACGGTTACTCGGCCTAAATTTTTAGTTGATTTGTTTAATGGCACGTCAACTCTTTATGGGTCATTTAGTGCCGAAATTTAATTTTTTTTCGGAGATTTGAAGTAATAGAATATGTTATTCTGCTTTCACAATTGAATACATGGTAGATGATACTCAGCTTTTCTGCATATACAAGTTTTGTATTACCAGACGTCGTGATATAAGAGTTTTATGATTTTTAAGTTATTTAGAAATAGAGTTTGATTTAAGAAATTGTAGGATATTGTTATAGCATACCTACAGACGATAATGAATATGTCCCCATTCACATAAATACAGTAGTAAATACTGTATGTTGGTCTGCGGTTCGAGATTCGTCTCCAGCTGTGTTGGTCAAACTCTCTGTCTACGGTCAGAGAGGATCCCCACATGAGGCTATGTGAAAAGGCAGAATCTCGTCTCGGGAAACAGCTACCCAACCCCGTTTTATACGGGGTCTACGGGGAATTTTTGGCCAAGCCTACGGGCTCGGAACTCCCACATTAAATTCGGCCTTGTGCCATATCTGACCGCGTGGGGCGGTTGGTAGATATCCTGCAGTTGGAGATTCATTGTAGAATTCACTTGACTCACTTCTAGCAGTTGACTACTTCTACGCGCCGCCGGCGAATCTTATATGTGTTGTTCATGTTCTAAGTATTATCGTTCATTGACAACCTTCATGTGATTATTCCATTCAGTAACCTCCCTAGGTTGCAACAGATATTATATTAATGTCATGAGAGAGTTTTTTTCATATTGGTTCTTTGGTTGAATTTATTTAACGGCATATCAACATCTCTGTGGGTTGTTTAATGCCGAAGTCGAAATATTCTGAACACAATTTTGTGGCTACGACTAAATATAGTTAGAACGCAAATATATGTCTTCAGCAATAGATAAAATGTAATGTTGGTTCCGTATTGTCGTTTTTTTTATGTAAAATGTATTGCTGGTATTTATACTATAAAAATGTATTTTAATACATTCATAGTGTTTTTGTTTGAAATGCTCCCTATTTGGTCATAGCTGGGACATTAACAGGTGCTAACATCGCGTGTCAGGGTGGATCTGGGAGCAGGTAGTTCCACACTCATCAAAACCTCCAATCTCCCAATCAGAAGCCTTGCTGCCTTGGACCTAAGGAATATGAAAGGACGATAGAATCGTCAAAAGTATAATATAAAGGACAGAGAAAAAGAAATATCATTATATTTTCAAAAGAGTTTTTAAAAGTTGTTTAACATTTTCAATGGTTTACTGTGTCTTTTCTATAAATACTTTAATAGTAATTATTCTAATGAACTTTCCTCCATGGTATTGGGGTTTCATTTTTAAATGTTGTTACTTTTATTTTCCCACCCTCAAACAGATTGTACATATAGGAACTAGTTAAGACTACATAGAGACTTTGAGGTATTATGGTAGCTGTAATAAGTCTAACACTTTCGCCCCGGCCCCTCAACCTCCGGCATCTTACTCTCGGGGTTGAGGTGTCTATTCGGTCCTAATTGAACTTAAAGGAGTGGCCATAGGTCCCTTGAGCATCTGTAGATTATTCGACCGGTCCGCTAGCTTAATCCTGCTTCCTGCCCACGTTGATCCAGAAAGCAGAGGTGATATCCGTCCATTCACGGTCGACTGAAGATGTAGACACGGCTGGGGAGTCTGCGCTAAGAAATTTAGAATGCAGCAAAAAAAAAAAAATTAATATCTGCAGAAAGACGGACAAACATCGATTCAATGGTTGAATTGCTAATGTCTTTTATAAGCAGAAAAGAATAATAGAGAAGAGAAACGGGTTACAGAAAAGAAAAGTAAAAAAAAAAAAAACTCATACATTGGATTCTAGACAGAGAGAGAGGGTGTAGGTGGTTGTCTTGTTAAATCGTCTCAGAACGATATCTGACGCTTGCGATGGAGGGATAAAGATTTCTGTGCGGGGCTTAAAGTTATAGTGGCGTTCCTCCTCCCAACGCTCGCCAAGGCCAATTCTCTCTTCTCTCTTCAAGAATTTTCTCCCGTCTCGCTTTTTCAGCATAACTACGCATTTATATAGATAAACCTGGCTGATTATAACTGACCTTCGGCCTTACTAATTCGCAAGAGATTATCACGGGGTTCTGGCTGCTTCAACCAAAATCATGTGAATTCCAAAGTTCCTTCTAGCTTACTCAGCTCTATTTCAATTTTTAATCAATAAAAATTATTTCGATCATTTCCATTGTCTCCTGATGACCCAGATTCAATGGGTAGAACTTCTGCCCTAGATCAGATTTCCTCATCAGTAAACAAAATGCTCAGATTTAATTTCTCTATTCAAATCTACTCTAATTTCACTAAAAAAAAAAAAATACGCCCGCGCGTGTGTGCGTGCGTGTATGCATGTGTGTGTGTGTCTTTCCCAGATTCTCTCTCTCTGTCACATAAGAATGGTATGTAAGAACGTATTGTTCTGGTGTAAGAAATATTGTGGTATGTTTAGGTCAGTAATTGTGGCAAGCGAAGTTTTCAGATAAGACAGATAGAAGACCAGTCTTCCCCTATGGACTTGTGCCACGTTTTTGTATTATCCAAAATAAATATTACTTTCCTCTATGGTACATAGACTTTATGAATGTAAGCGCAGTACTAGATTGACGGTAAGGTCTCATCAATTTAAAGTTGAAATGGCTACATGTAACCGTAAGTTCTATGCTAACATTTTCTTTTATAGCATTTCTCACTTATAGAAATCTCTTCCGGCTTCTTGCTTCTCAGTCGAATTTGATCTTCAAAAATTGAAATGCATTGTCAATCGTTATATTTTGTTTTCTTAATTATTATTCTTTTATTTTCCCGACCTTAATAGTATTTTCTCTCATATTCTCTAAAACTCAGTAACGCCTTGCATCCTAGTGGCTTTATTTCCTTGCTTAGGGTAAAACGATTGAAACAGAAACAAAAAATCGTAAAGACGATAAAATCCCTTTCAACACCGAGAACGTTTATGATGCAGCTTGGAAAGTGACTGCATGCCACGATCGAGTAGTTTTCGTTCATAATGGCCACCGTGTTCTCGATGTCGACATTTAACCAATCCTTGGTATATTGTGTAACCGACGGTGTTCTAGACAATGCCGCAGTCATTCCAAGTGAGTCAAATCAGATTTCTGAAGTCACACGTTGCAGACTGGCCTTGTTAAATTACTGATCAAATTAAATTCTGCCCTCCCTTTCCCAGAAACTGTAAATAAGTTCTGCTCAACATAGTTATAAAATAAACCACGTATTTTTTTTTTTTTTTTGGTGGCATATGTCTTAGCAGGCGTCGTCCCTCAACAGGAAATAGCAAGGCACCTGTACATGTAAAACTAGTAACCAACCACTTTTAAACAGTTACTATTACGGCTAATAATGCATGATTCTTCGGTAAATCGAATCGAGTTCTCTCAGTCTGTGTGTTTATCTAAAAATAAATAGCCTTAAATTCACCTTCTTCCCTACCGTGCACCAACGGCTGAGGAGTAAAATCTCCGACTGGTGCAAATTCAGCCGGGTTTCGATCCTAGCTAGAGGCAACCGGACGTCTAGCCACACTGATGAGCTGTGATACAGCGAAATATATATATATATATATATATATAGTCATCCACAGACAGACAGTATCACAGCTCATCTTTATCTAGACGTCCGGTTGCCTCTAGCTAAGATCGAAACCCTGCTAAATTGGCGTCATTCGGAGAATCTACCCCTAAGCCGTTGGGGCACGGCAGGAAATGAAGGTGAATTTAAGCGTATTTATTTTTAGATAAACACGCGAGTGACTGAGAGACCTCGATTCGTTTTATCGAAGAGTATTGCATTAGTAGCAGTAATAATCACTGTTTACAAACTCACGCCTCTTCCTCAGATAGCTCAGCCGAAATAACTTTTCAGGGGCATATATTTTGTCATCTGCAGACAGACTGTTTCGCTGTATCACAGCTCAGCATCAAATATATATTATTTCAGGATATTAAAACATGTTAAAAATCGCTACACAATTACAAGTTACTCGCCAATCGTTTAATATCGCCCGAGGAGACACATTTGTAACATAATTGTAATTGTGTAGCAATTTTTAACGTGATTTTGTTTTAATATCCTAAAATAAATAATTGAGCCCTCTTTTAAATTAAATGTTATGTACAGTGGAATCATTCTCCATTTGTCCTCATTTTACTTTTATATATATATATATATATATATATATATATATATATATATATATATATATATATATATATATTATTACACGAACTTGTAGCATATAGATGAACCACGGGTTCTAAAAAAAAAGG